GAATGGCTGGGGACGACGGAGCGGAAGCGCGGCAGCAGGCGGAAGGCGGAACGGCGCACAGCCACGGCCATTCGCTCGACGACGGTCATGCCGCGCACAGCCACGGCCATGGGGCGGATTCGCACGCGCACGCTCATTCGCACCACGACGACCATCACCATCACCACCACCACGACCATCCTGCAACGTCAGTGATCCCTTGAATCCATTCTCGTTCTACCGTAATCTAGCGCGTCTTTATGGCCGCCAATCGTTGATCCGTGCATTCCTTATTTTATTCCCTCCCTTTTCTACTCCCTTGCTTGCATTCCCCGTCAACCGCCAGCCTTGCGTGCATTCGTTTGTTTTAGAACCATTTTTCCGTTTTTCCTCCTTTCCTTAACTTAATGATTGCTCTATTTCCTGAGAAACCTCTTGTCCAACCCAGCGGCGACGCGTCAGCACCGTCCGACGAGTTCCGCGGCGCGGACGGGCGCGTGTACCACTCGCACGACGGGCTCGCGCCGCACTCGCACGAGCCGCTCGACAGCGCGGGGAGCTTCGCGCTGCGCGCGCCGCCCTTGCCGAACCGCGACTTGGCGGAGCGCGCGTTTACTGTTGGAATCGGCGGCCCCGTCGGATCAGGGTAGGATGGGGGAGGGGAAAAGGGCGAGGGGGAGGAAGTGGGTGGGTGATCGGCGGGCCTGTCGGATCAGGGTAGGATGGGGGAGGGAGGGGGAAAGGGCGAGGGGTGGGAAGGGGGTGAGAGAGGGGAATCCGAAGGGTTGCATTGTGCACAGGTTGTGTGGGAGAGGGAAGAGGGTGGTGGAAGATGAAGGGAAAGGGGGGGTTTTCGCAGGGGTGTTTTGCATGAGTGGGTCTCGGAGCGCATGTGCTTTGGGATGGTGGGACGAGTGGGGCCTGGGTAAGGTTGGGAAAGGGTAGCCGGGATGAGGGGAAGGGGGGGGGAGGACGAGAAGGAAGGGGAAAGTGGGAGGGAAGTGAGGAGGAAGGGAGATTGGAGAGGGGTAACCCGCCTGCTTGTATGGGTGTGGAAAGGTTGATGTGTATGTGGATGGTTTATGTGTATGTGAAAGGGTGAATGCTCTCATGCCCGCTGCTGCACCCTGCTTCCTTCCTGCACCCACCTTCCGACTCTCATGCAGCAAGACAGCTCTCATGCTGGCTCTGTGCCGCACGCTAAGGGAGCAGCAGTGCAGCCTGGCAGAGGTTACCAACGACATCTTCACATGAACCACCCATTCTGCTCCTATGCTCCCATTCCCCCGTCCACCCACAGAAAGACTGCTCTAATGCTCGCTCTGTGCCACACGCTCAGGGAGCAGTACAGTCTTGCAGCCGTCACCAACGACATCTTCACACCCCCTCCTGCACTCTCCGTCCGCATTCACCCCCATCCTGCAGAAAGACGGCTCTCATGCTGGCCCTGTGTCGCACGCTGAGAGACCAGTACAGCCTGGCAGCAGTCACCAACGACATCTTCACACAAGAGGACGGCGAGTTCCTGATAAAGCACGCCGCCCTCTCGCCGCCCGGCCGCATCCGGGCGGTGGAGACGGGCGGCTGTCCGCACGCCGCCATCCGGGAGGATATCAGCATCAACCTGGGGCCACTGGAGGAGCTTTCCACTGAGTTTAAGGCGGACATGCTGCTGTGCGAGTCAGGGGGGGGTGAGTGGTGGCACTGTGGCATGAAGGGGTCTAATCTCATGTCATGCCGCCATGCCGCCATGCCGCCATGCCGCCATGCGCTGATGGTATGAGCGTCAGCACGGTTCATATCCGACATGCTGTTGTGCGAATCAGGAGGAGGTGAGTGGAATGACGGATGGAAGGTGAGAGGAAGGGCGTGGCAAGGGAGTGTTGAGACTGGAAGGGAGGAGTGCTGAGTGTGTGGAGGCATGCGAATTGAGGCTTCCTGTATTCTCCTTTGCTCACATCCCCATCTGCACCTCCATCAGCCAAGAGCTAGCAGACCACATCATCTGCATCATTCATGTGTCGGGGGTTGGTGATGAGACCCCATTTGTTTCCTCATCTGTCTCCCCATCTGGCTCCTATCCCCTGTCCCCCATCCCGTTCCCTGCAGACAACCTAGCGGCCAATTTCAGCCGAGAGCTAGCAGACTACATCATCTATATTATCGACGTGTCGGGCGGCGATAAGATCCCGAGGAAGGGCGGCCCGGGGATTACACAGGCGGACCTACTGGTGAGAGGAAAGGGGTGTGTGAAAAACACCTTTCTCATGTATGGTGTCTCTCAATTGTTTTCCCTGCCTTACCTTCCTCAAAACGTTTCCCTGCCTTACCTTCCTGAAAACGTTTCCCTGCCTTACCTTCCTCAAAACGTTTCCCTGCCTTACCTTCCTCAAAACGTTCCCTGCAGCCATGGTGACCTGAAAACGCTCAATTCCTAGTCGTAGCTGCACGTTATCTCACCATGGCACCGCGCCATGCCCAATGCCCATCTTTGCCCCCCTAAACCAGCTCCTTAGAATCCACCTGCATGAGCAGATAGTATAAGGACGGAAAGGAGAGATGTTATGCTGGCATACCTGTTGGAAAGAGGAAAGGGGTTGGTTGGAGGGAGGAGGATGGGTGTGAGTACAAGTGTGCTTGCAGGGAAGATGTCGAGGGAAGGGAGTGTGCTCTGGGGTGACTTTTGAGGCGCTTCAAAGGTGGGGGGAAGGAGGATGGAAGTGAGTGCTCATGTGTATGAGCTTAAGTGTGCTTGTAAGGAAGATCTCGAGGAAGAGTGGCCCTGGGGTCACCCAGGCGGACCTGTTGCTGAGGGGTGTAGAAGCATTGAGGCTCTGGGCATGGCCTGGTTGTTCCGTGGGGATATGGAGGTGTGAGCAGGGTGGTGTGTGTTGAGAGAAGGCAGGTGTGGAGGTATTGTAATGGGAGAGAGAAATGGCATTGAACCCCACCCCTCCTCCCCTCTCTCTCCCCCATTCTCCCCACTTCACTTGCCTCCTTACTTCTGTGCTCTCTTCTGCATGCTTTCCGCCATGCTGACGTGGCATCATCAGGTGGTGAACAAGACTGACCTGGCGCCGGCGATCGGTGCTGACCTGGCGGTAATGGAAACGGACGCGCTGCGCATGCGGGATGGGGGACCACTAGTGTTTGCACAGGTGAGGGGAATTGATGGAGGGAGGTGTGCGTGCATGTGGGACGTGTACAGGGACCCTCTTTACAAGGAGGATAGCTGCAGCACGTGTAGCCTGGTGGTCATGCAAACGGGCGCGCTTCGCATCAAAGATGGCGGGCCTCTGGTGTTCGCACGGGTGGGTGGGGGACAGGAGGGGAATGCATGGAGGTGTATGTGTGTGGAAAGGGGGTTGTGTGAGCCTTGCAGTTATGGAAAGAGGCGCGCTTCGCATCAAAGATGGCGGGCCTCTGGTGTTCGCACGGGTGGGTGAATAGGGGATAGTTTGCAAAAGGTAGGTGGATAAAGGGTGTGTGTGTGATGCCAATGTTCTCAAAGAAAGTCAGTGCTTAGGGGCTGGAAAAACCTTCATGTTTTCACGGTCGAGTGGGTGAGGGAGATGTGGATGGAGGGGAGTATATGATTCCGCCCCTCACCTGTGGCGGGAGTGTCTGTTTTCTCCTCTCTAAAGCTTGTGTCTGTCGCTCTGCACTTCGCTTTTAAGGCGCCTCAAAAGTGTGCTGTGTAGGGTGAAGCATCGGGTGGGGCTAATGCCACTATTCCGGGCATAGAAAAAGAGGATCATGTGCTGGCAGCATGGAGTGCTGCTCCTCTTGTGCTCATACCTACATATTATCCTCTCTATGCATGCAGGTGAAGCATGGGGTGGGGGTACCGGCCATAGTGGATCATGTACTCACAGCATGGAGTGCCGCCACAGGCCAGCCCAGGAGGTGAAGGGCAGCGTGCTCCCTGTTACCCTCGCCGTTCATGTCACTGTTACAGTCAGTCATAGTTACACACATGGTAATGGTTAGCCACGGTTAGCCACGGTTAGTAACGGTTGGTAACGGTGCCACTGTACCAGCTATAGTGGACCATGTACTCACAGCATGGAGTGCCGCCACAAGCCATTCCAGGAGGTGAAAAGAGGCATGCTCCCTGTTACCCTCACTGTTACAGTCAGTTGTGTTGGAAACAATTGATCTAAGCGCCTCTGTCGTGTCAAAACACCAAGTCAGAAGCGAAGCAAAACATATCGAAGCATCAGCGAGTCAACCCTCGGAGGTTGAACAACTGCTGGAGGTTACGCGAAAGTCAAAGGTCAGCGACCTTTGACCTGACAAGTACAGCGCGACAGCAAGGACAAACAACTGACTCGCTATTGAGCAGTTGCCCGAGTCGTCACTGTATCGAACCGCAACAGCAATGGCAAAAACGGTTATTGGTTATAACCCTTCATATTCCTTTGTACTCTTATAAAAACTTGTATCTCCCTGCTATTAATCAATCTACTTTGCCCTCACATACCAGCGCAAGGTGGTTCACAATCTTTCTTTAAAACGCTTCCGCTATTACATTGTCCTAGTCGGAATTTAGGGTACATTCCGCTGTGGACACTGTCCCAATCGATGTGTCCCAATCGATTGTGACGCGTACGTACAGCATATGCTGCCAGGTGTCAGAATGCCGGGCCGCCCGTGGTTGTCACCAAATGTATTTATCATTGGGTGACGTGAAACACGGAGCAGTCGCCAGCTAATTGCAACACAGTCCATCATTCGCACGCGGTGCCAAATGTCAACACATGCAGCATGTATCTAGACGACATCTCCCCGGTGGCCACTATCCCCATCAACGCGTACACTGCGTAGTGATTGGTCCAGACGACACACCCGGAATTATTGACAGGGACGCGCACGTCCCCGCCAGCGCGCCTTCCCCCAGCTCCAATGCTCCTTCCCCACAACTCCTCCACCTCCCAACACCTTACGGGTTCATCTTCGTGCACCATCCTTCCTGTTCCAATCTGTTCATTTCTCTCTGCTCCCGCTCCCTAAAGATCTAGATCTAGAAGCACTCTATCCGCCAGCATGGCTCGTAAGCGTAAGGGGCAGGCCCTTAACGACTGCCCCAAGGATCTTGACGACATTCCTTACATCCGCTGGATGAACCAGCAGATCGCCAACGGGCGCCATCCGAAGGGATTATCCGCGCCGCCCGTGCTTGACGGCCAGGGATCCAGTGCACAGTCGCCCAGTGCGGCCCCGTCACGTGTGCGTCGTCAGCCTGCAAGGACGGCTGCAACACACCGGCTTGTCGTGGAGCAAGATGCGTACGATGACGATGATGACGACCCCGAACAAGGCCTCGACACCGACGACGACGAGGAGGAACCGGAAGACGCTGGGATGTCGCCCAGCGACGGCGACGATGAAGATGAGGACGCCGAGGACGACGCGGAGGAGGAAGCGCAACCTGTGTCTGTGACTACGAAACGGAGCGCCGCACGCGCATCTGGGACGAACAAAGGCAAAGGCAAGGCGGCGCCACCCCGGCCACGCCAGGAGCCACGGAAGAAGCGGTCGGCTGCACCAGTCGAGAGGGGCTTATGGTCGGACAAGGAGAGCACCTTATTCGCCGCGGCGAAGTGGTTCATGAAAGAGGAGCTCGAGCCTCTCAAGGGGAAGCAGGGGACGCAATACTGGGTCCGACTACTCGCGCACATCAAGGAGTCGAACCCTGGATGGTGCAGGGGTGTCAACGCGTTGCAGAAGCAGTGGCGTAACTTGACGCTCCTCTGGCGGGAGTACAAGCGTGGCGACGGGGGGTCAGGCCACGGCTCGGTTGAGAAACCACCGTGGTATCCGTACCTGGAGCTGCACAACCAGGACACCGCCGCAGCCGCACCGCATGCGGTGGACGGCGGCGGTGCCACGGACGTCAACGTGCCGGCCGGCATGGAGGTTCCAAGTTCGTCTCAGCCAGGCACGTCAACACCAACCTTTACGGGTGAGTCGTGCTTCTATCACCTCTAGCTTGATATGCGTTTGACTTATCGTAGTTTGAATACGATGAATCCGTTTATTTTATTCGCCAATATGCAGGTTACATCAAACAAGGGTAGTCGGACTAATCGAAACTACTATTTTCCCCGCTCCTCTATCACAGCTCCGCCGCCGCCGACCACCGCAACACCTAGGCGCGCACGGGTGCATGAGACGGCTACCATGCAAGCAGCCAAGCTGGTCTCCGCGACCATCAAGGATTGTCACGGTGACGCGATGACGCGCATTGAGAGCCTCGTCCGTGAATGGATGGCGCAGGACATGCGACTTGCCCGCGAGCGCATGACTGAATCGGCGCCCCCGGACGTGCACCGTGCGCCGCCGGATTTCAGCCCTCCTCCGCCACGCGGGGAGTCCGCACCACCTCCCGAAGCCGCACAGCATGGCGACGATGTTGGCGACGTCAACACCGTCACTCCGGGTGCTGAGGATGTGGAGATATGGGTGCGCGGCGCCGACGATTAGCGTAAGAGTCCTGCAGGGCCTCACCCAGTCTTTTCCGCCTCTCTCTCAGAGCCTGTTGTGTTGGGGGAACACAGGGTTCCCACTTGTGTGTCGCAATGGCACCCCGTGTCCACCAAGAGTCGCGGTTGCGGGGCAGATTGAACCAGGCCATGTTCTTGCGCCTAACGACTGCCATCTCTTCACACAAGTTGTGCAGGATCACACAACACGCGGCTCCTGCGAGAATGCGCCACAACCTGCAGTCGTTGCGCCCGCCGAAGATGCGCCATCTCCCTTTCAAGGCGCCGATGCACCGTTCCACCGCCATGCGTGTGGCGCTTTGGCAGTAGTTGAAGCATTGGGCCCAATCGTCCATTAGGTCCTCTCCGCGCGGTGCATGCAGGGGGGTTAGGCAGTATTCTCGTAGCGGGTAGGCCGCATCCCCAACAATCTGGTATGGGGCTATGTCCCCGTTGTGTAACCTCTCAAGTAGTGCAGACTCTTTGAAAACCCGCATGTCGTGCGCGCTGCCGGGATAGCCGATGAGGTAATCCCATATCCTGCCTCGTGCATCACACGTGATTTGGAGCTGAACGGCGTAGGCCGACTTCCTTGTCCAGTACTCCGCCCTGTGCCCTTCCATCCCTTTCATGTGGATGTGAGTCCCGTCCACAGCCCCCACCACTGCAGGTACACCTTTGATGGCAGCGAATTCACGCGCCATCTCGGGAAGTTCATCGCGTGTGGGAAAGCGCACCCAGGCGGCCTTGAAGACAGAGGGGAACTCGGTGAGGAACACGTCAACAAGCTCGTGGCAGAGTGTCTTGGAGACACCGAACAGGTACGACATGTCGACGAATGAAATCCCACTCGCCAAGTACTTTATTGGGGCTACGCGGCGCCTGGCCAGGCCGCGACGCAACTGCTTTGGGGGCCAGCGCTGGCTCTAAGGGCAGGCGCAGGGGCCGCTACGGGCCGCAAAGGGCAGGCGCAACGCGCGCGTCGGGCAGGTAGGATTTTTTTTTTTTTTTTTTTTTTTTAATTTTAATTTTAGTGGTGGGCCCTTAGGAGAAATTGAACTAGCTCTATACCATGTGAAGAAACAAAGGAATGAATGATTGAACTAGGAAGCAGAAGGGTACAAGTAGAAAACACAAAAGTGTTGTACCCTCTAAGGACTACCCCACTACAGCCTAAACAGACTATAGTAGATATAAGTTTGACAAAGAAGTGACAGAGCGGCTCACACGCGTGCACAGCCGAGGCCTTCAAGTGAGTTTGTCAAATTTGTGTTTCATGTCACGCTGTCTGTAAGAAGCACAACACGATTTACCAAGTTTAAAGTGACCATGTTTATCATTTTTTTGATCTTGTGTTTAGCAGTACTTCGACGTACCCCAGCAACAGAACGACGTAGACTGCGGGGTCTACGTCTCCATGTTCATCAAGGAGCTTGTATTCCGCTGCTTCCAATTCATGGAAGAAGGGATTCCGAAACTCCATTACGGGGGCGCGCACTACAGGCGCGAAATCCGTGCTCTGATGTGCGAGGCCGGCGAAGGTACTCTGTTGGAATCGCTGAAACTGAAGGGGGCCAATATTCCACCACAGAGTGAGCAGCAGCAGGAGGATGAGGGTGAGAGCGACGACGTAGTTGAGGTCGATCTTGAGACCAAGGTTAAAGATCTATCGGCGGAGCAGGCTGTCCAAGCTGCCCAGATCAATAGCCTTTCGGAAGACATGGATAATCTGAAAGACTCAGTTTTCAAGGGTGGGGAGGGAATCGTCAAACTGATGGTGACTGTGTCATCACTGTTTACCGCCTTTCAGCAGCTGGCTGCACATGCAGGGTTCAAGCTACCGATGGCTGCCCTGGAGGGTTTGAACAGGCCTGAAGCCGGCGACTCCACCGCTGTAGTAGTAGCTCCTGGTACAACAAGAGGTGCTCTTCACACCTCTGCTGGTGGTCCATCACTTGCGCGTAGACCACTTTTCGGCCAGATTCCAGGGTTTGTGCAAGCCCAGGGAGCCACATCCGGTGCACAAAGGTCTAGGGCGGGTGACACAGGTCCCGCAGCCGGCGCTTCATCCTCCGCAGCTGATCAGGTGGGTGCTGCAGCATGTGTTACTACAGCAGTAGCGGGTCAGCCAGGTGCCTCGGTCCGTGCTCCTCCTGCTGGAGCGGGTCAGCCAGGTGCCTATGCCGGTGCTCCACCAGCTGGAGCGGTTCAGCCAGGCTCCTCTGCCGGTGCTCTTCCAGCTGGAGCGGGTCTGCCAGGTGCAGCAGACGGTGTTTCACCAGCAGCAGCGGGTCAGCCAGGTGCAGCGGCCGTTATTCCAATAGCAGCAGCGGGTCACCCAGGTGCAGAAGCCGGTGTTTCAACAGCAGCAGCGGGTCAACCATTTGCAGCAGTCGTTATTCCAACAGCAGCAACGGGTCAGCCAAAGGCAGCAGCCGGTGTACCTACAGCAGCATCGGGTCAGCCAGGTTCTGCATGCGTTGCACTTACAGCAGCGGCAGCGCAGCCATGTGCGACCGCGGGTGCTCCAAAGGCGGCAGCGGGTCAGCACGGACCCGCCACGGGGGTTGCTATTAACGCAGGCGTGGTACGGCCTGGAGACGACTGCTGGGATATATTGGGACCGGGGTCGGATCTCATCAACTTTCCGCCATGTGCGCAGGTCCAGGATGCAACCGGGTCGCAAGCAGCGGATGACGCTCCGACGACAGCTGTGCTTCACACAAGTTCAGCGGCATGGACATCAGGAGAACAGCTGTTTGTGCCCTTGGGTTTTCCACCCGGGATGCATCTCCAGGGGTTTCGTGCACCAGGAGCGGGGGTGTTTGCTCCACAGGCAGGTGGTGTTCAGCCGGGAGCATCTGCACATGTCGCGCCAGTAGGGCCTAGTGGCCATGCTCTGTATCATCCCAACTTGCTCTTCCACGGATCAGGACATCCAACCGCGTCCGTGCATCTGCCTTTGTCGTCGCACGGCCCCGGTGTGCAGGATCCATCTGCTTTCCTCGTTGCTGCTGAGGCGCTCGACAATGGCAGCATCCTACCTGGCCACTCCTCCTCCGCACCTCGTCGGACTCTATTGAACATGCTCTCCAGCTTCACGCAGCCCTCGCAACAGGTTCTGCCCTCCCCAGCCGCCTCCTCATCCTTCATGCCATCGACCCAAGTTGGGGAGGAGGAGGAGGCCGCCAGCAAGGGGTTCACGGGAGTCACAAAGAAGAAGGGTAAGAACGAGTGGGTGGCTAGGATTGTCCTCGACCGCTCTTCCAATTCTCTGATTGTCATCAGCAGTCACTTTCAATCTGAGGTCGCCGCGGCTAGGTCAATAGCCGCAGCGTCTCATGTGATGTTCGTCGACAATCCCATGAGAGGCGATCTCATACTCTTGACGGACGGCGACAGGGCAAAGTTACAGGGGTGTACGGCTCAACAGTGTGATTTGATGGTCCGTCAGAAGTTCTGGCACAAGCGGGAGCAGTGGGCGGAGTATTGGCCTGCTGCTAAGGCTAAGTATGACGAGAAAGAGCGCAAGGCTGCGATGAAGCGATCGGCACTAGATAGGAGCTTGGGTCAGCCTGACGGTCGGCCCGACAAAATGGCCAGAACGGTGGGTGAAGGCCTGTCACGAGGGGTGACAGGAGATAACAATGAGTGTGTGGGATCTAAGGATGAATAGGCTAGCGGGCATGGGCATTATGTGGCTGTTTTGAGTAACAACCGATCTCTAAACATGCTTCTTAGGGCTATGGTAGCGCACTGTGCATCATGTGTGGATATGGCTGTTAGTGTGTGCTTACGTTTGCATCATAATATGGATTCCAATTTGAACCAAAAATTGACACACTATGGCCTCGTTTAGAAAGGGTCTATGAACGGCCAAGAAACAACCAATTTGCCAGTCAATGGCCCGTAACAAATCAGTTGGATGCGTGTGCATACCTCGCGAAGGTATTGTAAAGGTGCCGTGTACATCCCACTGCCTATGAGTAAACGTCAAGTGCAGTCCTCGGGAAACCGTCGTGATGGGTTCGTGGGGATCACGTCACGCGAGACTCACAAAATAATCCCAGCTCGACACCAGTTGGCAATCCACGATCACCTCGTGAAACATCCGTGAGTATTCCGTCGCTTCCACGAACGATGCTTGTCCGACAAAACGGCCAGTTAACATCAAGTTCATGCCTCGCGAAGAGTGCGTGGGGAATGATATGTAACAACGACCGCATCACTTGTTACTCACAAAACACCAACTGAAAATCCGCATGACAATAGTGTGCAATCCGCGATCACCTCGTGACACAGTCATGACTATTTCGGCGCTTCCACGTAAGACGCACATGGGGGATGGAGGACGACCTAATCCCCGTGATAATCCCGCAAGTCAACAGTGTGCAGTCCGCGTACGTCTCCTCATACTGTCGTGAATACTCCGTCGCTGCCTCGTCAGATGCTCGTTTCGGCTGTTGGGAGCGTGTATAAATAAAGTGTGTTGCATATGATAACACAAACTTCGAATCGTGTATAAATAAAACCAGTATAACACTGACAAGCCCACCCATATAAATTGCCAGGAGAGACAGGCAGAGACTAAAAAGAAATATAGGGTCTCTTGGCGACAAAGGTGTTTATGCAACCCGATTTAGTGAGAAGTCAGTGTCAGAATGTTATATTGCTTACTTTGTGTAGGCTATACTGGGGTAGCCTATAAGGGGTACAACCCAATTAGGGTTAGTACTCGTACCCAACTCTTTCATAGTTCATTCATTCTCGTTCATTCTTGTGACATGGTTTCAGAGCAGGTCCTTCGCAAGGACCGTTTTTTTAGGGCCCACCACAGAGCTGCCCCACAAATCGCCCCTAGCAGCTAGTTGCGCTGCCCCTATCAGCCCATGACCCGCCCCTACCGCTAGCGCGCTGCCCTTGCAGCCCGCCCGCCTCCTAGTCACGGCCCTTGCGCCGCCCCTGCAGCCTGCGAGTCGCCCGCTTGCGACCCGCCCGCCGCCCCTAGGCTCGCTCGCCTCCTCCTCACGGTCCGCGCGCCGCCCCTGCAGCCAGCGCGTTGCCCACCTACGGCCCGCCTGCCGCCCCTGCAGCCTGCGCGCCGCCCGTTTGAGGCCCGCCCGCCGCCCCTGCAGCCTGCGCGCCGCCGGCTTGCGGCCCGCCCACCGCCCCTGCAGCCAGAGCGCCGCCCACTTGCGGCCCACCCGCCGCCCTGCACCCAGCGCGCCGCCCGCTTGAGGCCCGCCCGCCTCCCCTGCAGCCCGCGCGCCACCCTGCAGCCCCGCGCACCGCCCCTGCAGCCCCGTGCGCCGCCCGCTTGCGGTCCGCCTGCCTCCCCTGCAGCCTGCGCGCCGCCCCTGCAGCCCCGCGCGCCGCCTTTGCAGCCCCGTGCGCCGCCCCTTGCGGCCCGCCCGCCGCCCTGCACCCCGCGCGCCGCCCGCTTGTGGCCCGCTCGCCGCCCCTTCCGGCCCGCGCGCCGCCCCTGCAGCCCTGCATGCCGCCCCTTATGGCCCGCCCGCCGTCCCTTGAGGCCCGCTCGCCGCCCCTTGCAGCTCGCGCGCCGCCCCTTGCAGCTCGCGCGCCGCCCCTTGCAGCCTGCTCGCCGCCCCTTGCGGCCCACTAGCCGCCCCTTGCTGCTTGCACAGCCCGGCTCCTGCCCGTCCTGCTGCTGGCCACCCTAGCCTTGCACTGCCCTCCCCTGCCTGCGTGCTGCTCTGCTGCTAGCGCGCCGCCCTGCTCTGCCCACTATGGCGTCTCTCTGCGTACTCGTGTTCGATCATGAGGGCCGTCCGATCCAGTTCGACACGTGGCTCGACGACTTACAGCTGTACCTACTGAGTGACTCTAGAGACAGCGTTTCATTGTTTGACCACACGTCTGGAGCCTCTCTCGCCCCTCCCGCCACACCTGACAGTGCGACTCGCTCACAGTGGCTTACCCATGACGCTGCTGCTCGCTTAGCCGTTCGCAACCACCTGCCGTTAGCCGAACGCGCTCACTTTGGCCAGCACAAGACTGCTAAAGCCCTGTACGACGCTGTAGTCGCTCGTTACTCTTCCCCTGCCACTGCTGCTCTAGGCTGCCTTATACTGCCCTATCTGTTTCCCGAGCTGTCCGCCTTTGCCACAATCGAGGACCTCGTTACCCACCTCCGTACTAGGGACGCTCGCTACCGCGCTGCCTTCCCAGCAGAGTTCCTTGACAGGAACCCGCCCTCGATGTACATCACTATCTACATCATAGTCACCCGCCTCCCTGACTCTCTTCGCGCTGTCAGGGACCACTTTCTCGCACTTGACCCCACAGACCTCACTGTCGACCTGCTCGAGAAGCACCTCCTTGCAGCTGAGACTAGCGTAGTCGCTGTAAGTGCTGCTCGTGGCACTCCTCGCACACCCTTCTTTGAGGGGTGTGCCCCCTCCCCCATTGCCCCCTCCTACACTTCTTCTGCTGCTGTTGACATCCTTGGTGCTGAGGATGTCGGGGCTGCTTTTGCTCTTAGTGGGAAGCGCCGCAGCAGCAAGGGCAAGGGTGGCAGGAGTGGTGGCGGTGGCAGCGGGGGTGGTGATGGTGGAGGCAGTAGAGGCGGTGGAGGTGGCGGAGGTGGTGGCAGCAGTGGGAGTGGTGGCGGGAGTGGGGGCTTCGGTGGCGGCGGTGGCGGTAGCGGTGGGGGTGGGGGTGGGGGTGGTGTTGATGGCGGCAGTGGCAGTGGTGGCGGCGGCAGTAGTGGCGGTCGGGGTGGAGCTTACAGAATCTGGCAGTGTCCAGAATCTGGAGTTGATATCTTTGCTCTTGACTATGATGCTATCCTTGCTGCCATGTATGCCTTGTCTGTTACCGGTGTGTGCCGCCCGACCCACGCATAGAGGCTGCTACTCTAGGTGGTAGTGAGTCTGCTCTCCCTGGTTCTGCGCCTGCTGAGGCCTTGCACACCTTTACGCTTGACTCAGGTGCTTTCCGCTGTTTCTTTCGCGACAGTACCACCCTCACTCCACTCCCTGCACCTGTTCCGGTCAAACCGGCTGACCCCTCACGGGACCCAGTTCTTGCCCGTTCCTCCACTGTTCTCCCGTGTTTGGCAGTTCCGTCCGGCTCACTGTCAGGTCTTCACCTCCCCTCGTTCTCTACGAACTTGGTGAGTATCGCTGCCTTCCAGGATGCGATGGTCACTACCACCACTTCTGGGGGTCAGCGTGTGTCCATCTGCACGTGTACACGGACGGGCCGTCACCTAGCCATGTTCACTTGTCGGCCTAGATCGAGTCTGTATACACTGCCTACCGAGCCTCCTCAGGTAGCTGCGTCTGCTCAGGTGTCCGCGTCACGTCCAGTAGCAGCCCCCTACTCGTGTCGCCTCCTGTCGCACCAGACTCTCCTTTGGCACCACAGTGGCTTACTCGTGACGCTGCTGCTCGCTTAGCCATTCGCAACCACCTGCCATTCGCCGAATGCGCTCACTTCGGACAGCACAAGACTGCTAAAGCACTGTACGATGCTGTCGTCACCCGTTACTCCTCCCCTACCACTGCTGCTCTTGGCCGTCTTCTACTGCCCTACCTGTTTCCCGAGCTGTCCGCCTTTGCCACAGTGGAGGACTTCGTTACCCACCTTCGCACTAGCGACGCTCACTACCGCGCTGCCCTCACAGCAGAGTTCCTTGATAGGAACCTGCCCCCGATGTACATCACTCTCTACTTTATAGTCACCCGCACTTCCTGACTCTCTTCGCGCTGTCAGGGACCACTTTCTCGCACTTGACCCCACAGCCCTCACTGTTGACCTACTCGAGCAGCACCTCCTTGCAGCTGAGACTAGTGTAGTCGCTGTAGGTGCCGCTCATGGCACTCCTCGCACGCCCTTCTTTGAGGGGTGTTCACCCTCCCCCCCCTCCTTGCCCCCTCCTACGCCTCTGCTGCTGCTGTTGACGTCCTTGGTGCTGAGGACGTCAGGGCTGCTTCTGCTAGTGGGAAGCGCCGCAGCAGCAAGGGTAAGGGTGGCAGGGGTGGTGGCGGTGGCAGCGGGGGTGGTGGTGGGGGCAGCAATGGAGGTGGTGGAGGCAGTGGGGGTGACGGTAGTGGCGACAACGGGAGTGGTGGCGGTCGGGCTGGAGCTACTCAGCGGGGTGGGTCTGGCGGTGGCCAGAGGCAGCAGCAACAGCGTGGGAGGGAGACCCCATCGCCCCAGCAACTTAGTGAGTGGTTTTCTCAGCGTGGGGCGTCTGGGGGTAGTGTTAGCTGCCCGTATGTCATTCGCACGGGTGACCGTGCTGGTCAGACATGCGGGAAGCCTCACACTCAGCACCGCTGCTTCTCCCGCCTAGACGACGCTTGGCGCGCAGAGTTTGGTGACGAGGCCGAGCGCCCCCGTTGGGCAGAGCTGCTTAGGTCTGGAGTTGCTATCTTTGACCTAGACTACGATGCTATCCTTGCTGCTATGTATGCCTTGTCTATTAGTGGTGAGGGTGACTGTTACCTGTGTGTGCCGCCTGACCCAGGTATAGCGGCTGCTGCTCTTGGTGCTAGTGAGTCAGCTCTCTCTGGTACTGCGCCTACTAAGGCCTTGCACACCTTTACACTTGACTCACGTGCTTCATGCTGTTTCTTTCAAGACAACACCAACCTCACTCCTCTCTCTGCACTTGTCCCGGTCAAACTGGCTGACCCCTCAGGGGGCCAA